ATATTTTCTGAATCCAGTGATGATCTTCAGTATGCATTAAATATCTTCTCAGAATACTGCAAAAGATGGAAACTGAAAGTCAATATATCAAAAACTAAGGTTGTAATATTCTCTAGAGGAAGTCCCATATTTAAACTTGATGATGAAAATATTGAAGTTGTAAGAGAATACATTTATATTGGTATTTTGTTTAAAAATAATGGACGTTTTGTAAAGGTATTAAACGACTACATTCCCAAGCTTCCAGAGCCATGTATGCAGTATTGAGAAAAATAAGAATGTAAGAGATGCCACTAGATTGCCAGTGAAAACTGTTTGACCAACTTGTACAACCCATATTATTGTATGCTTCAGAAGTGTGGGGATATGAAAATACACAAATTATAGAACGTCTCCATCTAAAGTTTTGTAAATTCATTCTCAAGGTTAAAATGACAACTCCTGACTACATGGTATACGTCGAGCTGGGTCGATATCCGCTAAATATCTCCGTAAAAATACGAACGCTTTCTCATTGGGGTAAAATGTTAGTATTCCCAGACAAGCTGTAATACAAAATATATTCTCTCATGTATACCATGAAGTCATCCTGGCCTAATTATAACTTTAGCTTGCTGACGGCAATAGAAATAATCCTACGGGATAAGCATTCTTATTGATCAGTTTTATCAGTCATGGAATGCAACAGTAAATGCTTCCTCAAAAGGTAAATATTACAATCTGTATAAAGAATTACCTCATCTTAATTTTTATCTTCTGTAACTACCCCATAATCTTAGAATATGGTGCACACGCTTAGAACAGCTAACCATAGACTACCCATAGAAACTTGAAGATGGACTAACGTTGTACTGACTGAGTTTGGTTTTACGCCGCTTTTACCAATATTCCAGCAACATCACGGCGGGACTAACGTTGTAAGATCGGATAGACAATGTACATTATGTAATGAAGCAGTGGGCGACGAATACCACTTCCTTTTAACATGCCCATGTCTAGCAACCCTAAGAAATAAATATCTGCCTAAGTATTTTTGTAATAACCCATCAATAGATAAATTCATCTCCATAATGAAATCCAGTTATAAACTACTCGCCGTAAAATTAGCCAAATACATCAAGGAGGGCTTATGTTTGTACAAATGAGATTTATCATGTGCATAATTGTAATTGATTTTTTATTATTGTAGTCATGTATAAATTCATACTGTTCATATTGTAAATTATCTCTGTGTGTTCTCTATGTCACAACATGTGATTTATGAGAATAAACGCCTTCTTCTTCTTCTTCGATTGCGGCGTTAAACTAAACTCACTCACTCACACATCCTCACTTTGCGTAACTGCCTTCTCCTTCTATAATCCTTCTAGCTACCTCATCATATCATTGTACATTAATCCTGCTTGTGTTAGCATGTGAACATGTATATATTTAGGGGCGAGCGGCTAACGCGTCAGGCTATTGATCTAGCGAGCTTGAGGTGAAGGGATCGAGCCCACCTGTGACCGGGTGTAAAAACCTTGGAGTCAACTTTGTGTGCAGACTCTTTCAGTGTTGTCACAACCCCTAGTGTACAGTACACAACCCTGTGCACTTAAAAGAACCCACGAATTCGTTGGTATATGACCAGATGGTGGCCACATGAATACGTGCAAACACCTAGTTGCGGGTACAGCAAACAGTTAACTTGGACAAAGTACTGTAACTATGTGTCCCAGTCCACAAAACTGAATGGGTACTTCGTAAGGATGAAACAGCCCCAATAACTCGGTGCGCCTAGTGGCTGCAAAAGTTGTATGGTCCACGGGGAGTTGAGATTGATAATACGATGTGCAGTTGAGATTGATCCAATGATCGAGGGAATACTCCAGCGCCTGGAACATGTACTAGTTGACTTGATATGTGCGCTATTTAAATATCCTATTTTAAAATAATAATAATAAGATCATCAGGGAGTCCCATGTCTAAACGACAAAAGTCAATTTGGAATCAATTAAAACTGAAATACAAAACAACGAAAGAAAATATACTTCTCCAAAGTGTCGATTCCCTTAAGGCAAAAAAAGTTTGGACTGAAAGAAAGAAAAATGGGAAAAGAAAAATAAATTCATAAAACAAAATAAACTTTTTAGAAATAATCAAAAACACTTCTACAGGCAACTTTGAACAAACGGTGATGGTGAGCATGATAAACGGCCTCCCATGGATGCCAATGAAAGGTTCTGGAAACAGTTGTGGTCTGTACCCGGCGACTGTAATCTGGAGGCGTCATGGGTCCGTGATTATGACCATGCAATGCATGAGAAAGTAACTAGGTCGTTTGTCTGTTACATCTCACCAGATTGCCTGAAAAGTGTCATCAAAAAGTCCAAATCTAATATAGCTCCAGGGCCTGATGGCATTCGAAACCGGTACTGGAAACTGTTTCTCTGTCTCCAAACACCATTACTTCACACTTTCAATTCTCTTGTGGACACAGGTGATGTTCCATGGTTCTGCAAAGGTCGCACAATACTCCTTCCCAAAAAGAGACTTGACTGATCCCCAAAACTTCCGCCCTATCACATGTTTGAATACTCAGTATAAAATTTTCACAGGGTGTTTAACAAGTCTCGTGACATCTTACTGCTCTTCCAATGATATAATTTATAGAGGGCAGAAGGGAGCTAGAAAGGGATGTTGGGGATGCAATGATCAACTTCTTGTACAGAAAATGATGGAAGAGGCTATAACATATCACCGCAACCTCTCCATGTGCTGGATTGACTACAAAAAGGCATACGACTCCGTCCCTCATGAATGGATTCTGAAGTCTCTTTGTTGTATTGACCTCCCGGGGCGACTACTTGATTTACTCAAGTCTTCAATGAGTTGCTGGTCGACTCAACTTGAGATGTACTCGCAAGGGCAGGTGCAGACTTCGGAATCTATTCCAATCAGAAGGGGAATTTTCCAGGGGGACTCCTTCAGTCCTTTGCTTTTTTGTTTGTCTCTAAATCCTTTGAGCTTTCTGCTCAACAGAGAGGAGGTTACCATCCCGGACCTCCTCAGCACACATCCCCAACACCGCTTACTCGTCTCCTTTACAAGAATGACATCGAGCTCCTTGCCAAAGGAGATACCAATTGAAAGATCAGGTTCTCCTTGTCGAGTCCTTTTCAAATGATATTGGCATGACATTTGGGCCCGACAAATGTAATATTCTTCATTTGAAAAGTGGCAAGGTAATTAATGATGGATCGGTCAGGTTGCAAGGGGGAGGAGTTATTGAGCATCTTGTGGAAGATCAGGCCTACACCTATCTTGGAATGCAATTTCGAGACAAGCTCCAGAATGCCCAAATTCAAGACAAACTTCGGTCCGAGTACAAATCTCGCTTAAAGAAAATCTGGAGCTCAGAGCTAAATGCTCGAAACAAGGCCAAAGCCACCAGTACTTTTGCCGTACCAGTCCTGGTCTATTCCTTTGGAGTAGTTGACTGGACAAAACAAGACATTCAGGGTCTTGACCGCCTGACCAGAAGGATCATGTCTGATAGCAGAGCCCACCAGCCTCGTTCCTCTCTTAACCGTTTATATATGCCAATCAATTCTGGAGGTCGGGGTTTGATTAATGTGGAGGCTCTTCATGATAGAATTTATTGTGTACTTTTGCACATATTTATTTATCGGATGATCCTCTGGTGATGCATGCCAAGACTCATGATCAAAGCAAGGAATTCCACAGCTATTTTAAGCGTGTTCAGGTTGTTGGGCAGAATCTGAAATTTGATGTTGATTTTGTTGATGGCGTTGTACTGCTGGACGGTACAACGATGGGAGTAAACCAGGTGAAGTCCTTCACCAAGTCTGCCCAGAGTCGGTCATTTGTTGGAGAAGCTTTCTGAGAAACCACTGCATCGTGCAGTGTGTGGAACAGAATAGCAATCCAACCGACTCCATCGCCTGGATGAAGTCGGCTGGTCTAAAATGTGAAACTGAGGGCTTCCTTTTTGCTGCTCAGGACCAGTCACTTCTCACTCGCAATCGCCAGAATGTGATTCTAAAAGAAATTATTGACATGGGGTGCCGACTGTGTAATGTTTTTACAGAGACTGTCCAACACCTTGTCAGTGGATGCCCTTCCTTGGCACAAATAGCAATCTTAAAAGACATGATGGCATGGCTCGCTGCCTTTATTACCGTCTTCGCCATGCCTGTGGCTTTGACTCTGAGGTCCACCCATGGTACGACCCTGAACATGTCCAGGGCGTCATGGAAAATGATGCTTCAAACTTCTTTGGAGTAGGCCCATATACATCCTGAAAAGAATTCCAGCCAACAAACGTTATCTTGTCCTTTTTGATAAAGCCAGTGAATTTATTTATATCATTGAATTTTCTGTCCCTTTTGACAGCAACGTGATTGGCAAGCTTCAGGAAAAGCATGATAAATATGCGGAGCGCGCCTATAAAATGTCTCGCTTGCATCCCAAGTACACTGTCGTCAGGTTCCCCATTGTTCTCGGTGCCCTTGGTTTGGTACCTCCTGAGCTGATGATGAGCCTTACCAGCCTGACTGCCAAGATAACCCGAACCCTCTCGGCTGCATTTTTCATCTTAATCATCATTCAAACCTTCTGTTCTGATCACTTTGTCAAAAGTAGATGTGTTTGTATTGACGCAAGACTTATTCTCATGTGGCCCATTTAAAGGAACTAACTCAGTTGGAAATACTTGATACTGCTCCCGATCATATTTAGAAACATCACGTTTACGTCAGCTGAATGAAAATTAGCTTTTCTGAAAATTAATAAATATTTTTAAATTCTTCTTTACAGAACTTTTATATTTTATCACCAGCCATCAGGAAATAACCCGTATCTTTCATCCTAATTGTTCCGGTAATAAACGTCATGCTTAGCATGTAAGCCACCTTCACACCTTTTGATGTGATGAGAATTTTGGAATCTACAAACTCTAACCTGGACCTTCTTTTCACCAAAGACAGGCTAGTATTTTGCGATAACGCTGGAGGTCTGTGGATCCACAACGCTGCCACCGGATGCTCCAAGCTGCTCAGCTGTAAAGAAGATGCATGTGGGGACGTCAAGATCAGCTCCTGTACATCGCTTGTTTACGCTGTCTACCCAAATGATGCGTAAGTGTTTAAATGGTCGTTTGCACTCCAGGTGGTTCACTTTCAAGAATTACAGAGTATACATGACTGCCTTGTAAACCACGAGCGGCTCCGTCATATACTTCCGTATACGTCACAATCACTTGTTTATGAATTCCTTTCAATCACTGAACACCAGGTGGTCATCATTTTGGTTATAGATTCAGTTATCGTATATTTAACTTGTTAACAGCGACATGTTCACACAACACAGGCTATTGTTTACCCGTAACATAAACTTCGTTCACTCAACGCTCTAGTAGATCAGCCTTTCATCAGAGGTCCGCGGGAATCCCAGAAACCAAAGGCACCGCCATTCAATGCATAGAGTTGCTCCAAATGGGCGTGCACCGCCATTCTATGCGCTGAGTTAGCCGAATGGACGTGCGCCGCTATTTAACACTTAAAGTTCGCCTTATGGACGTGAGCAGCCATTCAATGCATAGAGTTGCAAAAGAAGGGAAGTGCACCGCCATCCAATGCGTAGAGTTGCGCCGAATGGAAGTGCAGCGCTATTCTTTACGTAACGTTCGCCTAATAGATGTGCACAGCCATTCAGTGCGTAGAGTAGCAAAATCAATAGTTGCGTCGAATGGACGTGCACCGCAATTCAGTGGATAGAGTTGCGGCGAATGGACGTACAACGCAATTCTATAAGTGGAAGTGCACCGATCAAATCCTAGGTTTACCCTGATAACGTTTCCAGGCTTTCAGCACCATAGAGGGTTTCGCCAATGGGGTATACGTGCACTTGTATGACGTCCGGCTTTACCTCCCTCAACAAGCTGACATGCTGACATATCACGCTGACGTAACGTTGATCGTTGCAAGCCATATCACGAATTTCTTAACACCACGTGACAGATGCCACATTAGAAACAGGAGAGATTTGTGCTGTATTGTATTGTATATCACTTGATACTATTCTATGTTCATTATAAAATGATATTATCGATACTTTACTTATCGAAAACTCAGACTCAGGGAAATAGTTTGAGCTACTGTGTATTTCTACTGGATAGGAAAGCAGTTGTCCAGACAACAACATGTTCTGTTCTTTTCCAGAAATCTCGACATCTTCAACTCCACCACCTGTGATAGTGTGGGAACGTTGCCGTACACAGGATCTGTTCCCACTGGTTCTCCGAGCCTTGGATTCGAACCAGCCTGGTACGTTACATCATGGCAGGGACTGTCACATGCCACCCAAATGATACCTTAACGCTAAGTCCCTAGTATGGTGATCTACCTTCAATTGTTGGCGATCTATAGCCTGTTTTTATAATTTATTGTCCAAATAGTGCTATCAGTTTTAACTTTTCACACTAGTATTAGTTGTAATTGTGATATTCTAGTTGTTTTACTGTCCTTCGTCGACAGGTTTTTTATAATATACATATCTTCCATTTCAATGTCACATCTCGTCACGATATGGCTGAAATATTGCCGATGTGACGTTAAATAATAACTCACTCACTCACCTTAACGCTAAACATTCATCGTAAACTGATCAATAGCTACTGATCATGATTATGTTTTCACAAAGAGTAAATAAGGTATAAAAGCGGCAGTCATAATACACCTGGATACGACAAGTGGTTTACGAAATAGTATTCGTATTCCCTCACAGACATATCTAATCCTTTTTTGTTCAAACTGTAGTCTAGCTGTTTCAATTTGAATTATTCAACGTAATGCTGATTTGACTGAACCACCAATATCCTTCCATATGTGATAGATGAATTAGTTATGATACTCTATGCATAAATATATCAAACTTCATTTTTGCAGCCTAGCTTGAGAGGGTAAGTGTGTACCTTTTGAACCAGATCTGGGTTAGAATTGGTCTTCAGCAGCCCATGCTTGTCGTAAGAGGCGAAATTGTATTCCAATTGCGTAGATGGATGCGTACGCTGTTGATCACTGGATTGTGTGGTCCAGACTCTATAATTTACAGACCGCCGCCATAAAGCTGGAATATTGCTGAGTGCGGCGTTAAACAACAGTCAATCAATCAATGTACCTTTTTAATATGTTCTCCATATGTATTGCACCCATGGCCCCGACCTACAAAGCGTTCGTAGCGTTACGAGCTATCGTAACTATACAATATACCACAGGATTATGAATGACGTAGTGGTACGAACGATTTGTGGATCGGGTCCGTAACTTTAATGAGGATATTTTAATCTTGCTAGTATTTACTTGTACGTAGCGTTGCGATCTAACGTAACTATGCAGTTTATCATAGGATTACGAATGGCGTAGTGCTACGAACGCTTTGTGGGTGGGGCCCTATGTCTGTAGTTTAATGAGGATAGAGGATATTTTGAGCTTGCTAGTACTCGTATATATTGTACGTAGCGTAACGAGTTATCGTAACTATGAAGTTTACGACAGGATTACAAATGACGTAATGCTACGAAAGCTTGTGGATCGGATCCGTAACTTAAATGAGGATAGAGGATATTTTAATCTTGCTAATATAGACTTGTACGTAGCGTTACGATCTAACGTAACTATGCAGTTTATCATAGGATTACGAATGATGTAGTGCTACGAACAATTTGTGGACTGGGCCCTATGTCTGTAACTTTAATGAGGATAGAGGATAATTTAATCTTGCAAGTATATACTTGACCTGCTCGAAATAATACAGACTGCATGCTATTCTTAAAACAAGTTGTATAACTATAGTTTGATGCTTCCTGTGCAAAATTAACATTTCGAGAACATAGCAACCTCGTCATGACATAAGAGCCTTGAGGTGATGAAGATGTAGATGCAGTATTGCACAGTTCATGTGTGGAACTTACTGTTTTTTCGAAGTTCAGGCTTGGTCCTCGCGTGTTTCATCTTTCGTCATCAGTTTCAGTTTGTGTCAAACTCGGTTAACTCGAAGGATTTACGTATGTCTCTTCAACGTCGACACAACGGTATTTGTACTACTGATAAATTTAGACATGTTTGACAGCAAGCACATGTTCCTTGAGACTAAGCAATCCGTTCAGGAAAGTCCTAATTATGCTTCTCTTTTCAGGGACGAAGATCTTGGAATACAATCCATTAAATGTTGGAAAGGCACTGACGTTGAGTTTGTTTTCAATAAATCTTTTGAGCATGACCTAAATCTTGTATTTACTTTTTATCAACCAAAACACAATTCGTAAAGATACAAATGTTACTCCATCTCGACTGCTCACATAAAATAGTTATGAAAACTGTAATAACATCATCTTGAAGCAACTTCCAGAAATATACTTACATCTACCACTGCATGTCCCGACGTCCAAGTTAGAAATGATTTATTTGTAACCTGTGTACTCCGTGAAAACACTCTATGTTGCTCTATACGACCGAAGACCATTTGGAAGGACCAAGGTGTACAAATATGTATACTATCCCAAAAAAGAAACGCATAGGCGTTTTGTATTTTTAAAAGTGTTTTAATTACCTATTGTGTTCAAACAATTGTCAAAATATGTCAAAATGTTGATACTGAACTGATATTTAGCGCCGCTTTGAATATTCCAGCAATATAATATTGAAATGGGCTCACTCATTGTGCCCATGTGGGGAATCGAACCTGGTCTTCAGCGTGACGAGCCAACGCTTTAAAAGTACCCCACCGTCCCCAAAAAGTGTTGATTACATGATTTTACACAACTGCACAAGTGAAAAGTCGGCTTCATCTGAAAATGTTGATTTTGATGAGATTTCTTACAAGAATTAAAATGGCGTCGCCACAACGCAACAGAAATCACTTTCCAATTGCAAAGAGCATGCACTGTCAGGCTATAAAAATCCAGATTACTTTCGGAAATCGGCATCCGTTTTGAAGGAGTTTCAAGGTCACACCACTACTCCAAGTCTTGATGCTGCGACACAGAACATCGCCATTAAAAGAATGCACGCTGGAGATTACCAATTTTCTGTTGCCAGGCGTCTGAATGTTAGTCTGAGCACGATATCGCTGCTTGCAGCTCGTTACAACCAAACAGGTATAACAAATGACCGTCCCCGTACAGGCAGACCTCGAGTCACCACGGGCCCCCACTGCGGGTCAGAAAATCGATAAACTAGGCCCCGGTTTAGTATCAACACCCCCTACTATATAATACATAAAGGTTCATCACAGAAATACGGTGACATGATCGAAGTATCAAAAGCTTTTGTCCATATCTCCGATGTATGTAGGAGGCATATACATGCGCTTTTCGTGGGGATGCATTTGATGGTTTTTATTAAATCGCCAAAGACCGAGTTGCTGTGCCGGAAGTGTACAAAAGTAGGTCGTCAGCGCAATCAAATTGGTTAATAAAATGACAACAAATGCACTTGCGAAAATGAGAGGGAAACTCAAACGTCTATCATCCAAGATGTCACTATCTGATGTTTTATCTTGGTAAGAATAATTTTAAAAACGAGTACAAATATTTTTTAAAGAAACACATTCATTCAGTGTAATGTGTTAGCCAATCAGATCGCCCGAGGTAGTGAAGTCAAGCGCTGACGAGCTAGTTTTGTATACTTCCGGCATAGCAACTCGGTCTTTGGCGATTTAATAAAAACCATCAAATGCATCCCCACGGAAAGCCCATGTATATGCCTCTTACATACATCGGAGATATGGACAAAAGCTTTTGATACTTGTAAGACCTTTAAGATACGGTATATTCATTGACATGTGCGTAATTGTCCGGTTTTCGATCATGTCACCATATTTCTGTGATGAACCTTTATGTATTATATAGTAGGGGATGTTGATACTAAACCGGGGCCTAGTTTATCGATTTTCTGACCCGCAGTGGGGGCCTGTGCGAGTCACCACTGCAGCCCAAGATCGGTACATCTCGGGTACTACATTTGCGTGATCGTACTGCCACGTGTGAGAGCACAGCAGCAAGAGTGCCTGGACTTCGGAGGATATCCAGTCAAACTGTACGGATCAGGTTGAGAGAGATTGGACTGAGAGCCAGGAGACCCGACGTCGGGAAAATGCTACGTTGTCACAATCGCGCTCAACGTCTCCGTTATCTAAAATTATCCGCTTGGTTGTATAGACATTACCGTCTTCAAAACTGATGTAAACATTCATTTCTTAAATCCATTTGTGGACGAGTTATACGTGTTTGAAAATGCAACTTTTTTGCAAGAGATTTCTGGGTTATGCGTTTCTCTTTTTTTAATAGTATATATAGTTTCCACTCCACTGGGGCAAAGGATATTTGAAAATTTGATGACTTGTTCATACACATTCCAAGATAATGACCTTATGAGGTGAACATAGGCAACATATTATCATATAATAATTAGTAACAAAACCATGACAATAATCTTGAGATATCTCCTGTGCACGATTCGTGACCAACTCGTGTTATTACGGGACGAGCCGAATAGCGACTCGCGCCCCTCGGGCGGATTTCATGTTGGCGTATATACAGCAGAACTACTTTAAACAAGAACGACAACTCTGATTATATCCGGCAGTGTGTACACATTGTGGTTAAAAAATACTCCCGAAGCATTATTTAAATAGAATGCCCTGGCCACAATCATATGAGATTAAATTTAAGAAATGTGGTACTAGAGAAGGAATCTCTGGCTACACTTTGGGACAAAACATATTTTATGGTTCAATTCAGCTGGCAATATTAGACTTTGTGTATGCATCGGGAAAATTTGATATATTAAAATATTGATAAACACATACATTTGTATTGACTTTTAAACCATTTTAATGATTTTTTTTTTCTGATCTGCTTTTTTATTTAACGAGATCTTACTTTTCAGAAGTGAAATAGTAATTACTTGCGGTTTTAAAAAAATGAATATTCCATGAAGCAGATTGGTTAATCGTCTCATTTGCATCTCTCACTTTTTGCTTGGTTAAATTATGGATGTGTTGGGCGCCAATAGACCTTGAAAAGTGCAAATCGCCTTAAACTCAAATTCTACACCAAATCAATTCCGGCAGTAATAAACATTACTGAAGCAACAAAAAATGTTGCTTAAAAAAATCATAACCCGTTTTAAGCACAATAAAAATAATAATGGTGATGGTTTGTTGAATGCAATTGTTGTCTAGCGTGATTATTACCAGCTATTTCCAGATGTAACTTTCTAAATACAGTTTAAGAATGACAAACACATTTTTTTCTTCCTGTTATGTTATTTCAGCCTGAAATAAGTAAAAAAAGATACTTATAAGATATCTCATTCTGAACATTTTGTGGGGAGTCCTGTCATAATTTAGTCTGAGCGGTGTCTACTAATTGTCTGAACTGCTACATCATAGTGGGATTCAACATGAATACGCTGAAACACTTGAAGGACGTCAGAAACGTCAGACTAAAATATCACCAGTGAGGTGAAACGTAAGCACAGTATCTAAGTTTAAACGTGATTAGTTACATATTAATACATTGTTTTGAAACTCGTAGCTATTAATAATAATAATAATGTGTCCATTTATATAGCGCCAAACTCCACACTAGGTATGCTCATAGCGCTAACAATCAAGGCACAGCACATTATTTCCCCGGATAACCCAAGCTGCTTGTTAGGCACTAGAAGGTTATAGTCATATGACTTTTTCCACCGGGTACCAATGTTCCTGCTGGGTGAACAGTGACAATTTTGAACAAACTCACTTGCCTAAAGTGAGACCACATGTGTCACATGTGCTTCGTTGTGGGGCAGGACTCAAGTCCTAGAAACTCTCAGGAGTCAAGCTGCCAAACACGGTCACCCATCCAAGGACTCTCCGAGCTCAACGCTGCTTAACTTCACCGATTTGTGACCTG